GTGATGGATTCGTTAAATCAGAATTTACAAACCAAAATAAATAATATTTTGTAAGACCTCCTTATACCAAGAAACAACAAGATTTAAAAAATTAACAATAAATTTATCTACATATGTACAATAAATATCAAATCGGCCAAAAGTTCAATCATGGTCATCACTGGACAGATTCACACTTCACGCCACGTCGCAATGTATGGTCCACCATATTGTCCCTTCCGGTCCACCATATCCCAAAAGTATCCTCACCATGTACACCAATCCTCCCGTCCAGAACAAAAGCTTAATATACAATTTTGGTCACCTACAATTTTCATAGGGTTTTCTAATAAAATGTTCGAAACACATATCTGTTCAATATACTAGATTTTACAAACAAATAACGAAAGAAAACATGTATTTGCCGTTTAACAAGTAAATGAATTAGAGCGTAAATATCTATATTCTCGCTATATTGCTTACAGTTTTACATAGAAAATTGCTCTTTAAAGCTAACAACAAAAATATTGTAAAGTATAAAAACTTACTGAGCTGTGGCATTTTATACATAAAAACCATACTGTCGGTCCCCAGGTCTTGCTCTCAACGCCGCTACAAAACATCCCTGAATCCCAAGATCACACAGCAGGGGAAACAGCTAAAACACACCCAAGTTCACACAGCATGGGTTATATAAAGGCACACCCAAGATCACTAAGCATGGGTAAAGTATAACTCACGGCGTCCAGACCTCATCTGACACACACTAGCCAACACCCAGTATAAATAACTGTCCAAACTACTCAAACAGGTTCGACGAGTATACGTTGATAAAAATAGAACAAATACAACTCAGTGACCAATAGTGCGTAAATGAAATAAACGATAACTCCTAATGCCAAAATGAAGATAACTCTTACCAAATCCTGTACAATAAGCTAATATTAAACATTGACACAATGTCACTTGTGACAAAAGTTAATATTTTGATACCCAAAGTAGGGTCTACTAACTGGAAAATACAATTGTAAAACATGAAAGCCCTATCACCATCTGTTCCCAAGTTATTGTCAGGCTAAAGTTTGTCCATAAGTACATAAATCTTCAAGATCAAAGTCATAAGGTCAAGATTATTGGTATCCAATGAAAAGGTATTTCCACAAGGATCACATATTTTCAGTATGGAAGCCCTAGCCCTAACCATTCAAAATTTATGGCAAAGGTTAAAAAAAATTATAGTATGTAAACTCCAAGATTAAGGTCAGAAGGTCAAGGTTATTGGTATTGAATGAAAGGTCTTGTCAGAAGAATTACATATGTGAAGTATGAAAGCCATAGCCCTTACTCTACAAAAGTTATTGCCAAGGTTAATTTTTTTTTTAAGTCCGGAAATCTCCAAGGTCAAGGTCAAAAGGTCGAGGTTATTGGCATCCTATGATTGCTCTTGCTACAAAGAATACGTATGTGATGTATCGTCAAAGAACATAAAACACACTTTTGGGTGGGTGGATCCAATTTGCAATTGGATTGTGGCTGTGTTTTATGTTCTTTTACCCACCTTTTTTGATAGCAGGCAGCAATGTAGCACATTTATTTTCATGTATGTTTAGAATTTTTTATGTTTAATAGGGGGTCAACTGAAGATATATAATATGTATACTATACATGACAATGATTTTCCAGGTTTTGATTTCTTAATTAGTCTGCTGGTTGACCCCCTTTTTTCTATTATATATCATTTACAATGACATTATGGTGCTGGGGGTCAGATTATGCAATATTGTGATAAAGATATGTAATATTTTATATTTAAGTCCCCTTCCTGACCCCCTTTCTTATACTGTAAATATGTTTTACTACTTTTACGTCATTTACTTCAATAAATGACATTTTTCACTTCAATGACATTTTTTTGTTTGTTGTTTGTTTTTGCCTGCTTTAGCCAAAAAACAAGCTCAGTTGTCTGGCAGGAGAACTAAGGAACATAAATAAGTTATTATTGTAAATAATGACCTTTATTTGACATGTTCTTGTATATTTCTTTATTTTAAATTATTGTATAACAATGTCTCTTTTGTAATAGACTTATGCAATGTGTCATCCGGGTTTTACTTATGTAACTTGATAACCCCTTTCCATATTGTTTTCAACCAATCAGCAGAGCGCTTTGCTATCACGTGTCGCCTTATTAAATTATTAATAAATATTTTACAGATGATTGAAAATTTGACTTAATTCGAAGTTTGTTTCATGATCCTGAGGCCTGATGTGGTAAATATCAATAGCAAAGAAAACATTGGAATTGTGTATAAGGTTTGACAACTGAATGAATGAATTACTGTTCTGTTTTGATTAGTTTGAGTCAACGAAAGATATTAGTTGGATTTGCAATAGGCGAAATTAAGATAGGAAATAGAGTTTTTGAAGCAACACTTTAGTTACATGCACTTGATGAAAATTATTTTTGAATCACATGCATTTGAATGTAGTATTGATTTTGACAGTTCAACTTTATTATGCTTGTCAAAATACTGTATACAGTGTAATTTTCGCCCAGTTTTATTTTCGCCCGTTCACACTTGCAAACAATTTTCACTTCACACAGTCGTAGTTTTACTATAATACTTATTATTATCATTATCGTTTTATATTTGCCCAAATAATGGTATGGCAAAAGAGGCAAAAATTTCCCTGTAAACAGTATTCCATGGTTAAGATACTTTCAATTTTGCATATTAATGTACATTTACACTGTGCTGCTTTTGATTTGTTACAATGTTTTCTAAAAAAGGCACAGTTCAATCGTTTGGTAGTCCCTTTCATGTTATCAAAATGATTGTAATGAACCAGAGTCGATAATGAAAATGAATACTTCTTAGTAATCATGACTGTAGACATATATAACTATTGTATAAGCAATAATAAAAAAAAATGGGGACCTGAATTCAAACTAATGGATGTTTATATGGATATTAAATTGTATATATTTAAAAACATTGTATATATAATTGTAAATATATAAATTCTTTTAAAACTTTAATTACTTACATGGTTTTCAATGTAAGCCTTTTCAAATATTTAATGCTTAAGACCAGTTCTTCCAATGATTTATTGGAATTTCTTTATATTCATATGAAGCAGCCGCCCGCATGGCGCAGTTGTTAGAGCGTCTGCTCTTGAGTAGCGAAGTAAGGAGTTGTTCCTTATGTCCCAGGTTCGAATCCAACCGTGGGATGTGGAGATCGGTCCTTCCGATGAGACTGTATAAACCGAGGTTCCGTGTCGCAGAAGATGCTTAGACGAAAAAGATCCCTCCCTGCCTAAGGGCCGTGAGTGCCGAGTATAGGACAAAATCTGCAGCTCTCCACCAGCAAGTGGTGGCGTCTCCATATGAGTGAAAAATTCTTGAGAGGGACGTTAAACAATATACAATCAATCAATAAATCATGTGAAATAGAATTTGTGCAAAATTGTTTGCGTGAAAAGAAGAAAACGCTTGCTGTGTCCTTCAACTCGAAGTTTATATATATCAACGACGAATGATCAATTAACAATTGTAATTTCCATTCTTATGTCGACACGATATATCCTGGTGAGCTTGAGATAAATATAGGATCTCCCATGATTTGTTGAGTATGGTTTTTATCGAACGAGTTGTATGATTTTTATCTTAGAGCCTTGGCGAGGGGATAAAACACACAACGTGCTAGATAAAAATCACATCTTATTACAAATTATGGGAGATCCTTTCTATCCCATATCAAATACTTCACAACCGATGTTTTACACTGTTTTTATATAGGACCCCACGTCTTTTTACTTCATCGCGCTAACACAAAAACTTTTGTGACGTCATAACTGCACTTTACTTTGGGACATGAAAACGATATCACATGAGCTATAATCAGGGGAAATAGGAGTAGACATAGGATAAAATATACAGTTGTACCACAGAGTCTGACATATCTATTTCATACTTAGATATTTTACTTGAACAAGACGCTAATGATAAATAAACAATAAAACTCTATGATAAACGTGGTGACTTTAACTTTTCTATCGTCAACTTTCCTTACTTATGCAGCCATATCCTTCATCACCTGCATACGGAGTGTATTTATCTCAATTGGTTCGATACGCAAAAGCTACACTCAGTACACTGAGCATGATTAATTTCTAAAACGAGGTAAATTACTGGCAAACATGTGGTAGAAACAACAATTTTAGCAGTCTCGTTTCAAGTCATCATTTCGTAAATTCTATGGTCGATACAATGACCTTGTCAGCAAATACAATTTATCATTGCGTCAAAAGCTGTCTGACGTTTTATATACGAATTGTTTGTCCATCATATACTCACTCCTCCCTGGCACTTGTTCTCACCTCTGATGTTTTGGAGGTCTGTGTTTCCTCTGTTCCTATTTTGTATAATTGTTATATGGACTTTGACATTGAATACTGTTCTTTATCTCCATAACCTTCATCTTTCTGGTTTGTATACATTCAAAATAGGAATAATTGTTATAAACTAAAGATGCAGTAATATTTCATAAAAGGTATGCAAATTTCCTTTCTCTTGCATTTTAGTCAAATTGTGATACCCCGTGTACATTATGTGTACATTATGATAATACCAAACATATCAAGATTTTATTTTTAAGATGAATATAGAATAATTAATTACAAATTCCCCCAATGCAAGCTATGAATATCATTACACATCTATAATTGTGTTTTCTTTTCAGAAATTTAAAAGATGTTTCAGTTGGATAGAAAAAATGTATCAGAATTCATTAACAATTGGACACTGAGACTGCTGGTGATTTCAGTGCTGTTGGTTCTAGCATCAGTGTGGTATACGTACTTTAATTCGAAGATGACAGACGAGGATATAATAATGACTGATGTCAATATAATGAGTAATAATAAAGCAATTAAAGAAATCAAGGAAAATGTTAAGGAATTGAATGATGCCTTATATAAAATGAAAAATGATATGGCGATAAAACTGTGCTAAAAGAATAATTTCACTGGAGGCAGATCTTCGTAAGTGTAACTCAAGTCTTCAGACTCTTACGGATAAAAATGCACAAAGCTTTTCCACGTTAGAAAATAAATTAAACATTCTATCCCAAAAACATGCGGACATTGAACAAAAGTATAAAGAGCTACAGGAAAAAGTGTCGGAAACTGAGATGGAGATTAAAAAACAAGGCAAACTGGTGTGCGTCTTGAAAAGTCAAGTAAAGAGAACATCAACTATATGAAAAAAGTGGAAATCACGTCATACTGGGGTAAGGAATAAACTTCTAGTTGTTAAAAATGATAGTGATGTTGGAAATCTTATTATTATTTGATTCAAAAGTGCGAATTCCTTGGCATTCCATTAAAATAAACTTATGCGATAACGATTAATTTTGACGCAGTAGAGTATCAATTCATAATATATCTATGATTTTTTCTTGATACATCACATCATTGTTCTCAGTTCGTGGAATAATTGAACAACGCTAGATCAAGATTACAATAACAGCGTTGTATTTGAGTTTATGCTTATTTAAATGCTAATTTTTTTCTGTTTTAGTGGATATCCTTCTGGTGTGCATAATTCTAATTTGCTGATCACGATCACCACTATGACAAAAGGAAGCAATAATGTAATGTATTTTTAGAATAATATTATCAAAAATAAAAAGACATGTAATTTTAATGAAATGTAAACTACTAGTACCAATTCATTGTAGTTGACATGCATATCTGTCCTTTGAGTTATGAAGCGGTTACGATTGATCTATGAAATTTATTTTAAAATTTTCTTTCCTCTTGTCCTAATTTAGAGAAACACAGGTGTTGGTTTTGCGCCTGATAAAGATAAGGTCATCCAATTAGAAAAGAAACCAGCTGTGGTCAGCTTTATTCTGTTTTCATCTGAAGCCCACAAGAGACTGGCAGATCACTTTCTTGATGATTACCATTACATCATCGTACACAGTTCTCAAGACATATCAAAAATCTACTCTAAGGTAGAAGCATTGAGTTAATCATTATCTTTGAAAAAAAAAACCCAAAGTATCATTAACGTTAAAAACGTAAAACTAAACGTTTAAATTTAAACTTAAAATTTAACTCCAATTAGGTTGTTTACCTCTTTGTGGATTTTATCGATCGCAATATCATATTGGAGGCCGAGACAGAGACCCAACAAATCAAAAGGGAAACCGTAGAAACCATAAGGCATATTGGAGGTACTTTAATCCGTTCGTAAGCTTTTTATGACCTATTTACTGTTAACCATGCCTTAATACTTTGTCCAATTATGCTTATCAAAATTTATTTTTAATGAAATTTGATTTGAAAAAATTTTGATACATGGTATAATTGTTTGCAACATGCACCTTTATTGAAGATTTATGGTTTGAATGCGTTCCCTTGCTTCTTGATTTCAACAGGTACGCCAGTTGTGATTTACAGACTGCACTCAGAATCTAGGAATCTAGAGAATGGAAAGCTCAATTCGGACAAATTAAACTCAATACAGAGTCATCCAACTTTCCGAGACCTCTCAGCAAATAACTATGTATTTAGTATTGACAAAAAATTTACTGAATATCAACGAACTAATCTGACAAAGTTCTTGGAAAATTAACATAGTGTTCTTTAGTACTCTAATGCAGCAAACATCATATATTCGAGCTTTGAACATTTTTCGGAAATAAAATATTTAAGGTAAATTTAAATTTTTTAAACTCAAATCTGACTGGAATTCAATATATAACGTGTAAAAGGTTATTTTAGATTTAGATCACGTATAATTCTACTAAGGTTTACAAATACTGACAAGAACACATTCTAACCCGCAAAGAGAATAAAATGTTTCATGTCATTTTTAGATACACTGTACTAGATCAGTAATTTGTCAGATTATATTTATTAGTCTGCATATACTTGATTGTTAGATAGAACATTATCAAGCTTCATATTCGATGAAAAAGCGTAGAAAAGACTTAGTTAATTGACATCTTCCTTCTAGATTATATAGGGTTCTTTTTTTATAATCTTGTAAATTAAGTTCATTTTATAGAGTATTCTCAGAGTAATATGCGTGTAATTATCATATATTCATTAAGTTAATATGTTTTCATCAATTTGAATAAAATGTCAGTATTGATATGTTTTATAAAAAGGAATAACGCCGATTATTACGATTATTTCACAGTGTATAATATTACAAGACAGAAAGTATTTTGACCCAATCAAAAGTATATTGCAACTGATCTCACCTCTGATTTCAGAGATCTGTGTTTCCTCTGCTGTTACTTTTGTTTAATTGAACTTTTGAGTATGTTTAATGTAGCTCATCTTTAAATTGATCAAATTTATTCATTGCAAATACATTTAAACAAAATTGATATTTCACGTCAACAAACAATTTTTTCAGCCAGAGAAGAGAGACAAGGCAAACAAACTATCTAATAATATCTGTTTTCTGATTATTTGGCTACGACAGGATACATAAAATATTGAACGATTGGAAATCACAGGATTTTACCCATCAAAAGCTTAAATACTTACAACTTTTCAACATTTTACACTATCATTCCCCACGATATTAAAGTTCAGGCTTTTCGATATCATTGGCAGCTGCTTTTTCGATAAAACTCTTGTAATCTCCATTCCTACGTCGATACGATATATCCAGGTGAACCTGAGATAAAACATACCACAGAGTCTGACACATTTGTCTCATATTTGGATATTTTACTCGAAAAAGACGTTAACGGTAATTTTACAACCAAACTCTATGATTAACATGATGACTTTTCAATCGTCAACTTCCCTTGCTACTGCGGCAATATACCTTCATTACCTGTATAAGCAGTTAATGTATCTCACTTTATCTGATACGCCAGAGCATGCTCTATGTATGAACAATTTCTAAAACGAGGTAAGCTATTGACAAACAAGTTGTTAAAACAAGAATATCAGCGATCTCGTTTAAAATCATCATTACAGTAACCTAGTCAGTAAATACAATTTATCATAGACTCAAATGCTGACTGACGTTTTTCATACTAATTGTAAGTGCATTATTTATACACTGAATTGACGACGGATTTTTCCCGTTATTATCTGATCATGACAAGGAGCACACGGCGGGTGTGACCGGTCAGCAGGGGATGCTCACACCTCCATGGCACCTGATCCCACCTGTGATGTTTTGGAGGTCCGTGTTTGCTCTGTTCTTATTTTGTATTGTTTTATGGACTATAAGATTGAATACTGTCAATACACAGTAGGAGCAGAACCCAACTATAAGATTGAATACTGCCAATACACAGTAGGTACAGAACAAACAAAGACTGGATTGGATGCCATGGAGGAATTAGCATCCCCTGCCCACCAACCACACCCACCGAGTGGTTGATCGAGAAATAACGGAAAATTTGTCCTCATTCAGTGTGTAAGAAGGATATGGAGAAAACGAACAGTATTCAATCTTACGGTCGAAAATATGTAAAGTTTACGCACGACACAAACCCAGACGAAATGAAATAGATAGCAAAGGTGACCTAAAAAGAGATATGAAATTAAAAAAAGATGTAGAATTCTTACTGAAACTGAGCTTAACACAAAATGCTGCAAAAAGAGGACAATATCATGAAACAGTTCAGATTAGACAGAATAGAATTGTTGCTCGAGTTCAGTTAAGTTTTGCCCCTGTGATCAAAATAATATTTTTATACAAAAGAGTGCATCATATACCGAAAAATTGTTCACTGTTTTATGATTGTCCTTCACAATGCATATTGGTAAAGTAAGACATATGTTAATGTTTCTTCAAAATTTATTTATTTCATAAATCACAAATATCTTTGAGACGCGCTTTTTGATCTTCGGAGAATTGTCGATAAATACTCAGAACACAGTCTCTAGATGACAACTGCTTCAGTGTGGGATGGTATTCTATAGAGGTCAGTTTCCTGGAGTACAGACGACCGTCCTCTAGTGTCCCGGAGTCGGGATGTAAGTGGTATATCACCACAGCGGTTCCTGTTATAAAAATACATAGTATACTTCATGAAAGGAAAAAGAAACGCAGGCTAAACTTTTGAGGTGATTCAAATTCATTTTTCTTTTTTATTTTTTCAGTATTCTTATATAACTTTTATAATCATTTTTAAAGAAAATGTAACAAAATTCCCATTTGAGTTTGTCTTTTAATTCATGAATTATTGAAAACCATATGACGATACTCCCAAAAGTGAACATCTCGTATTATCTTCAAAGTTTCCCCCGCGCATGAGTGTTTATCTTTCTAACCCTGGATACTGGGCGTGGGTTCCCACACTGTAAAATTAGTCAAACGACGCGCGCATGCACCACTGAGAGGAACACAACAGAAAGTTGATCGTCTCAAAACCAAAATTGTGCAATTGATTTCGTTCAGTTTTTGGGTGATTGTAATGATTATGATAGTCTGCTGTAATGGTAGCGGTTTATGTGGTAGTAAGGTGACGATTAAACAGGTTGTAAGACGAATAACACGACCTTAACGTGACTCTATTTACGTTAACGTCATCATCACGGTTGGATGCAAACCATTCAAGGCCCTCTCTGACGACGGGTAACACGTTTTATGGGGGGAAATTTACAACAAAATGCCCAGTTACCCGTTATTGCCTTTGCACAAACTAGAGCCCATAGAATTTCCATAAACTGTATCCAAGATTACAAAAATTCTATATTGTCTGCAAATATTGAAAAACAAAGTGTGTATCTCAGGTGCATCAAATGGTACAACAAGATTTGCTGACAAATTCGTCGTCATCGATTTTCACGTGTTTTGGACTTTCTTAGCGCTTTCCCTAAGTGACGTCATACATTTTATGGTTGGGTAATTCTGAACACTGATATTGAGGCATAGTACCTAAGTCATTCTCATCTGACCAATTTTCGTAATTTTTGGTCATGCGATCAAGAAACCTTCGAATACATGTATTATGCTACCTTGCGTTTCTTTTTCCTTACAGTATATATTTAATCTATAAATATTAGACAGGCTATTTAACATTTAATATAAAACTTTCACCAAGATATTTGATTTTTGGATGAAAAAAAAAACTAAATATTCTGAGGAATAGTATTTATCTTCTATATTTATTAAAATGATTTTGAAAATAGCAATACTTAAGCAGCAATATATATTAGTATTTTCATGACTTATTCATAACATACTTCCCATATTCCTTATATATTCTACTGTCTCCTTTCTAATTTGCTGTGGTTCTCTGTCCCCTTCCAGTATGATGTTACGTTCGTTAAAATCCACGAAGACAAGAAAAACCTGTATTATATAGAAAATAAAGAAATAATCAAATAAAAAATTGAAAAAAATTGTTTATTTTTAAATATCAAAGCTATTAATACCTCGGAATAAATTTGGTGTATTTGAGGTATGTCCCTGGAATTTTTCATAACAAGAGAGTCATAGCTGTCGGTGAATTCTCTCATTAAATCCTCATGGGATCTTTTACAATTCTCAGTAAAACTTATGACGAGAGGAACTTTGCCTCCCCCACGAAAACGGTTGATTTCCATTCCGTTTTTCCTCTGAAACAGCAAAACGATTCATTAAGATATACTTTTGAAAAATATCAAGGAAATCAATTGGAAAAACTAATATCATACTTCTAAATTATGTTGTTCATACTTCTTGATTTCTTTTAAGGCGTAAAATATACAAAAACATTACAGAGTTTTCTCTCCAATCTTTTATGACGATGTAGATAAATAGGATTATGATGACACAGATCAGAAGGATATCCACTACAAGATGAAATGAAAAATGAAAGCTAGCACTGTAAAATATTTATAAAAGATATCCATGTTAAAGTGAAACTTTGTGTGAAATTATTTGTATTATTTATACTAGTACGAGGGGTGATCAAAACGTTCGCGAACTAATTGAATAACTTCCATGAAAGAAACAATATTTGGTTTCAATTTTGATTATATTTTAAGTAAACCCTCCCCGATTTTATGCACATCAACCACCATTCTGCGCATGTGTGAATCACATGATATTGGCGGTCACGTGACCCCATCCGTAGCGTTCTGTCACAAAAGTTGAAAGATTTTTCTGAGTTTTATATTTCTTTCCATGTGAGTTAATTTTTATGACAAGAACAGTTCAATTGTCAGAAATGGTCATATCTCGGCAACAGAATGGGTGGATAAGAATATCCTTTCCAAAAATAAGCATGGCGACCATTAAAACACAAATCTTCTGTCTCGGGAGAGACCTTTGTTCAAGGTGGATAGAGAATGGGTGCTTCCTTTTTATCATATCTAATATGTTCAAAATCTAAAGTAAACGATATCTTAGGTATCTAATAATTATATTATTGCTCAAATATTCAACTATATTTAAAAGTGTTAATTGGAGGTCTTTGATAGCAAATTGCTTAATTAAAAATACATATCTTTTCAAACTTGCTTTCAATGGGCAAGATGACAAGTATAATTTTTAACCATCTGCATTCCTTCACTAAAACTATTAATCCAATCATTAATTGAATTTATAGGAACTAATTTATCTCGATAAACTGTGTACAAATTATTAAATGATACTGCAGAGGGATTTCTAAGATATACAATAAATTTTACAGTCGTTTGTTGAACGAGTTCGACTGAGACAACCATTTTTCGTCACAAGTGACCTACATAGTGACAACATTTTCACATTGTGATGTCACAAAGAAGGAGAAAAACTTTATTTAGCATATGCTATTTATAGACCTTCTGTATAGCTATGTGTGTACCGAATTTCATTCTAATCTGAATTGTGGTTTTGTAGATATAGAGATAGTTCGCGAACTTTTTGATCACCCCTCGTATGTTTATATTACATATATCTTAATCTTATTGATTTGAAGTGATTGCTCTAAGCTAAAGACTGCAGTGATCTTTTGATGTGATAAGGTCATGACCGCTCATTAAGATTTGGCTGGGAAATTTAGTTCTTGTCTCAGCATTTCTGACTTTTAATATCACTCGAGTCTCAGGGGGATTGAATGTCCGAAGTGCTGACCATGAGAAAATTCAGAATTCATAGTGTTTACAATTTGCAGGTTAATCTAGCAGGGATTGACAGTCTGTAGGTTAGGCAGTTCTTACTATTTAGCGTAGAGTTTGTGTTCAATTAGTTATTCATTCATTACTCATTAATTGGATTAGGTGCAAAAGAGGAGCTAGTAAGCATTCCCCTTTTGGCCGGTCATTTATAATTGGATATAATTATCGAGTAATTGAAAAGTATAATTCATCATATAGTCAAAAAATAGTCTATAATTAATATATACAGAGCAGGAGCGTGTACAACCAAATCGCGGCAATATCACCAATATGGATTCGATAATCCTAAAATATATTAATATAACCGTTTAATAAACATTTTGTAACGAAATCTTACCACGATTTGACATGATTCCTCTGACCTCGTTCTCCTTGCTCTCCTTGTTTGACCTTTCCACTAGTTGCTGAATCTTGTCTTCCATATCAGAAATTTGTTTTGAAAGCTGTTCGATTTTTTCAAAATTTCCTTCTTCATTTTTTTCAATTTTATGTATCCGATTCTCTAAATTAGGTATTTGTTGCATCGCACTTCTTTCTAACCCTCTAAGTTCATCATAAGCCGTCCACAATTCTCTAATTTTATTTTTAAATGTCCCAAAATCATTCTCAAGAGATTTTAGAGATTCAGTTAATGAATTTATTAAATTGAAAATCTTGTCAAATTGGCTTTCCATAGTTTCTTTTACAGTCTGAATTTCTTCCCTATATTGTGCATATATCTCATTTTCTTTCACTACATACAAATCGAATAGTTTTTTTACTTCTTGTTTTAAAAGTGTCAGTTCCAAAGCTAAATTATTTAGTTTTATTTTCTCCGAATTTTGTAATTCAAATAAGCTTGATTCTGGTGTAATGATAAATTCCTTGTTATCTTTTTCACTTGAATCTTTCTCTGATTTGGAAATGTATTCTTCGTCTACACTGGATAATTGTCCATCTTCCGACTCTTTTAATTCAGAGTCGCGTGAATTTAAATAAATGGGAGAAAGAAAGCCTATAAATAAAGGAATTATCAGAATGATCCAATATCGACTGCTTTTTTCACCTCTTCCCCCTCTTCTAGGCATTTTTGTAAATTAATCTGGAAAACAAAAATGAAATTCATAGTCGATAAAATATATAAATACCATGATCATTTGCATTTCCAGACTGAGAAATGATTTACTCAGTATGAAATCATAAACACAATGATTATATCAACTTATTAAGGAAAGTCCTCAACATTATAAATTCCTATTTTATTTATGAATAAATACTTATTCATTTTGTATGTTTTATTTGGATATAACCATGCATGGTAACATTACAAAAAAGCCTTAAGACAAAAATATGACATTTTCAACTCTTCTCTATTGTTAACCTCCCTTCCACAATAATAGTGTAATGTGAAGATAACAAGAGATTAATTAATCTCTAAAGTCCAATTAAGCAATACAAATTTGGATCAGAACAAACAGGGACAACAAAATCCATCTCAAGAGGGATCAGCTACCACGGAAGAGAGAGCGAATGGTCCCACCTGCCATATGCTCCTTGTCGTGAGGAAAAAACCGTTGTCAATTCAATGCATAAATAATGGACTTACAGTCAGTATGAAAAACGTTAGTCAGTATTTGACTCAATGATAAGTTGTATTTGTTGACAAGATCATTGTATCGACCCTAGAACCTACGAAATGATGACAATTATCGACACTGCTGTGAAACAACACAAAATGTAATAACAACGCAAAATGTAATAATTATGGATTATTACAATTTTACGTTATCACATTTTGCGTCGCAATCAACGCAGAATGTAATAACACAAAATGTAACAACACATTTTTTAGGATTATTACATTTTGCGTTATTACATTTTGCCTCGATATCAACGCAAAATGTAATATCGCAAAATGTTATAACACGATTTTGGGATTTTTTACATTTTGCGTTGTTACATTTTGCGTCGAGATTAAGAAAAAAGCAGGAACGCAAAATGTAATAACATACTTTTTTGTCCGACAAAATTGAGTACAATTTTTAATAGAATAGTGGCGGATAAAAAGGAAATAAAACAAAAGGAAGAAATAGATATATGCAATTTCTTACAATTAATGAATTTCGTTATATATTGATTTTATTAGCTACATGTATTTCAAATCAGTTTTATCAATATATTCAAATTAAAGGTGCTGCAAATTAGAAACGTGCGTGTGTAGGCGGGGTTAAAATGGGTATTGTCCAGTGTATTTTTACTTTTTTTGTAGACAAATGCAATGAATATTAAAAAAAACCTATTCATTTGTACTGGCAGGTGTAAAAATATAGCAGGAAGGGGTTTATTGACAATTGTAATACCATACTGTTCCATGCAAATCACGAGCATTGCAGACAAGCAAAATCAAAGTCCCCCCTCTCTCTCCATCCAGTAATAAAATGGGTTGTTTCTGCATGCCCTTAGTAATACAATGATTAATATACCAAGTGAACAATCCACCCTACCCCTGCCCTTCCTCGCTTGACACATACACTCTTAATTTGTTAACCAATGTACACATGCCGAACATGCATATCAAAAGCTTTTAGCGAACCTATGGTCAATCTATGGTAAATGAATTGTGTTTTATTTGTTAGACATTTAATAAGACTATCAAAAATATGCCAATCAAAGTTAAATTAATGCTTTATAATTCAGAACAGTGTATTTAATATAACTAAAGTCAGAGTCAGAAAAACGATACATTTAGATGTACTGTAAAACGAGAATATTTGGCGCACTACTAATTTTAGCGCCTTTGGCGCAAGAGCCCCCGAATGCTAAAATTTATTGTGCGCTAACGAATTTCTAAATATTAATTTTTGTGTGTATTCAAAGCTTTTACATAAGTACATGTACATGTAAACCGGAACGCGCGATTACGTTATTCTAATGGTCATTAAATTTTATATACACACTAGCACTGCACATGGTATGATCGATCGAAAAAGTTCGGCCAAATTATAATTTAATTAAACTATTGTTACCCAAGTAATTGTTACCCGATTATAATCATTAGCACCTTCAAAGTTTGGCTTCTGGGCATGTCAATCATCTATCGCCTCGAGGTAAACAATGCAATCAAGCATGGCGATTGAGCTTGCAGACATTAATACCTAATTATAATTACCGTTTATCCAAGTAACTTTCTTTCGATCAAGTTCAAGTTCAAGTTCATTTATTCACTCAGCACCATATTAAATACATGGTACATGAGGACAAAGATAAATATTTACAACATGTATATATATATATAATCAGGTTAGAGGTATAAGTATATGATATACAAAATCAAAAAATGAGATGGGAGAAAAATGGAAAAAGAAAATGAAAAAAGAAAATTGAAAAAAATATATTGATACATGTAATAATGAAATGAATAAATGGAACAAATTATGGAGGACAGACTAAATCGTATATTTTTGATATAAACCTACAAAGTTTTATAAGTGACATAGCATCTTGTTTTGTCATCAGTTGAGAAAATTTCAAAATATTAGGTCTAGTAAAGTAGTACTCATTAATATACTTTTTCCTGATTTTTGACAGTGCATTACATTCAAGTATAAAATGAAATTCATCCGCAACATATTTTGCATCACAGAGTGTACATAATCTTTCATTTAATGGTATACCAGTCCATCTTCCCAGCTCAACTTGTAGACGGTGATTAGTAGTACGGAATTTGACAAATATTTTTCTGAATTTTAGTGGTAAAATACTTAAATAATTTTCATACGCAAAATTTGTTTTAAAAGTCTTATACAAAATACCTTTAGAAGAACTATTAATATCAGAATACCATTTTTGTATAAATTGATCTTGCAATCTTTGTTTAACAACAGGAGTAACCCAGTCTTGATTAGGATGGTAATAAAACTGTTCATTCCAAATATGAGTTAGTCCACATGAAACAAAAATGCGATGAACACAGTCAATCCAAGGGTTTTTACCGATTTCATATTGTGAATTAGCAATTAAATATTGATATAATATACATGGAATTTTCTTATCTGTGCTATTCGGTAACTTATACCAGTATGAAACTATTCTTGAATATATAATTACAGATAGTGGGAAGCGTCCTGTTTCAACATAAACCACATAATTCGGGGTACTACTTTTTAAATACAGAATATGTTTCAGAAATTTTAAATGTGCACGTTCAATAATATCTAGGTTTTCAAAACCCCAGATTTCACAACCATAAAGTAACACTGGTAAAACCATTTTATCAAATAAATCAAGTTGACATACTACAGGGAGGTTAAATTGTCTTATTTTTCTGATAACACCGTACATTGCTTTTTGGGCTTGGTCACAGAGATGCTTCTTGGCTTTTAAAAAGGAGCCAGATCTTGAAAAAATGATACCAAGATATTTAAATTCTTTGACAGTTTCTAGACTTTTGTTATTATAGTAAAATACTCTTTTGTTCAAAGGACCTTTTGAAAAAATTAATATTTTGGTTTTCTCAATATTTACTTGTAATTTCCACTCTGAGCAGTAGCTTTCAAATTCATTCAAAGCATTTTGTAGATCATCAGGAGTTTCTGCTAAAATGACAGTGTCATCGGCATATAAAAGTATAAGGAGTTTCAAATAAACACATAAATCATTTTCTATCGATGTAGTAAGACTTTGTAAACCAATTATATTGCTATCAACAAGATAATTCTCAAAGTCATTTATGTACAAGGAAAATAAAAAAGGAGATAAGTTTTCCCCCTGCCGGACTCCGACATTATAAAAGAAAAAATCGGTTGTTGTGCCGTTCATCTTTAAAAGTGATTTTTTTCCCTTATACATATTTGTGATATACGTAAAGCATTTGCCTTTAATTCCATCATTTAAAAGTTTACTCCACAGACCGTTTCTCCAAACAGTATCAAACGCTTGCTTGAAATCTATAAAAGCACAAAAAAGTTTTTTTCTCACATTTCATCAGTGTATTTGATAAAAAATGCAAAGTCAAAATATGGTCTAGAGTAGAATATTCTTTCCTAAAACCTGCTTGATTCTCTTGAATAAGTTCAATCTCATCTGCGTACATTTCTAATCGCTTGCTTAGTATACATGTGAAAAATTTACCCAAACAGCTCAATAAAGTGATAGGACGGTAATTTTCTGGAGCGGTCGGATCGCCCTTATTTTTGTAAATAGGTTTAACAATACCCATTTAATAGCCACTCATCTGGAACCAGTCCACTATCGAAAATAATGTTAAAAAACATCTTGTACACAGGTAAAAAGGTATACAATGTTGATGAAATATGTTCATTTACAATGTTATCAAAACCAGAAGCTTTTCCATTTTTTAATTTATTTACTGCTCCAATAATTTCAGCGTCACTAATTTCACAATTAAGTATATCATTAGAAGATTCACTCAGATCTAGTTCTCTATCAGCCGAATTAAAATCATCATCATTAGTCTCATTGTTACATTCATTAATACCTTTCAAATATTTAAATACCTCTTCAATATCTACAGCACTTTTTGACTCTTTATTAGAAGAATTTAATGTTTTCCAGTAAGCTTTAGTATTTGTAGTACGTAGTTGCATGAGTTAAGTCAGCTTTATATTTTCTAATACAGTTATGCATAACTTTTTTATAACTTCTACTCGTCTCTCTAAGGTTTTGTTTGTTTTCTTCTGATTTACATAAGTTATGCATTCTTTTAGCCAAGTGAAATTTTCTTCTAGCTGTTTTGCATTCTCTATTAAACCAAGGTTTGTTTCGTTTTTTATCCTTTGAATATTGACCCGTTGAAGAGATTCCAAAAGATTCTTTGGCTGATTTAGTAAAAATATTACAAATATCTTTTGCTACCTTATTAATGTCAGTACTTGAAACATCATTATTACTCATTTCGATAAGGTTACGCTCAATTGATATCACAGCTGAAATATCAATATTATTAAGAAACTCGGCTTCCCTATCGGGGCACCATAATTTTACACTTGGTTGGTTTTCACACGTGGAGCTATTTTTAGACATTGAACAGGTGGAAAAAGAAAAGGACAATGGATTATGTACATCTGAGAAAAGATTAGAGAACTCGTGTACTTCAAAATGTTGTAAAGTTCAAAAATGTGTACACTGGCAATAACATAATCCACAGTACTACTGTTTTTACAGGTTACACAACCTTTGTTTTTGTCGGTACCAAATCTACTATTTACGATGTACAAATCGTTATTTTTACAAAAGTCTATAAACTTATGGCCAAAATTATTGACAATAGTATCTTCAACACATTTTCAAAAAATGGAAACTCACTTGAAATACAGCTCTGTTTATAAAATCCGGCTAGCTAGGGTAAAAAATTTTCATCAGTTTAGAAATCTTGGTATCCAGTGACGAGTCTTTTCACAAGGATTACATATTTATAGTATGAGATCACTAGCCCTTAGCGTTCAAAAGTTATGTCCAAGGTTAAATTTTTTTCATTTACGAAAATCTCCAAGGTCAAGGTCAAAAGATTAAGGTATTTGGTATCTAATGAAAAGTCTGGCCACAAGGATAACGTATCTAAAGTATGGAAGCCCAAACCTACGCGTTCAGAAGATATGGCCAAGGTTATTAAAATTAATAAGTAGGTCAAACTCCCAGGTAAAGGTCATAGTGTCAAAGGTTTTGCTATCAAGTGAAAGGTCTTGTCACAAGCATTAAATATGTAAAGTATGAAAGCACTAGCCCTAAACTTTAAAATTTCTTGTCAAGCTTTGCTTTTTTAAAGTAAGTCAAACTCCAAGGTTAAGGTCAAAGGGTCAAAGTTCTGGGTATCCAATGAAGGGTCTTATCACAAGTATTATATGTGTGAAGTATAAAAGCCGTATCCCTTACCGTTCAAAAGTTATGGCCAAGGTTAAAGTTTTTTTTCACAAGTACGGAAATCTACAAGGTCAATAGGTCAAGGTTGTTGGTATCACATGAAAGGTCTTTCAAAAAAATATACATATGTAAAGTATAAATGTCCTGGTATCTACTGTTCAAAAGATATGGCCGAAGTAGAAGTTTAAAAATTCATGTGAAAGTGGGTCAAACTCCAAGGTCAAGGTCAAAAGATCAAATTTAGTGGTAACCAAAGAAAGGTCTTGTCTCAAGGAATATACATGTGAAATATGAAAGTCATAGCTTCACTAAATGAAAAGTTATGAGCAAGGTTAAAGTTTTTGCGGACAAACAGACAAACAGAGACAGAAAGATATGGAGATAACGAACAGTATTCAATCTCAAAGAATATTAAAGAATATACAAAATAAGAGCAGAGCAAACACGGACCTCCGAAACATCAGAGGTGGGATCATGTGCCATGTAGGAGTGAGCATCCCTTGCCGACCGGTCACACCCGCCATGTGCTTGTTGTTATGATCAGGCAATAAAGGAAAAAATCCGTCGTCAATTCAGTGTATAAATAATGGACTAACAATTGGTATGAAAAACGTCAGTCAGCATTTGACTTCGTCCGAAAAATCTGACGTTTTCCTGGCTTTTTTACGATTTTAATATTTTACATGCCAGGAAAACGTCAGAACCGGAGCCATTACGTAAACTGGGAATTCGCCACCTCGAACCGCAGGCGGCATTCTCAGGTTTATTTTCGAAACCTGCAAACCAAATTAAATGCTGAATTCACATTTTATCAATAGTAAAATAACTTTATTACTCAGCAACATAGTTTTTATGGTTCGTTTTTAAAATAATATAATCCATTTCGTGCATTTTAAAATCTTGCAAGTTCTGAATCGGAATGTGGGGTGGTAATTTCTTTTCATAGATATTGGTGAGTTCTAGGAGCATTGTGCCATTGATAAATTGTGAGTTCTGCATCTAATTCGGTTTGCAAGTGTAGAAAATCAACTTTGTGTGGAGACGGTGAAATTCCCAGTTTTCGTAATGGCGCCGGTTCTGACGTTTTTCTGGCATGTAAAATATCAAAATCGTAAAAGGAAAACATCAGATTTTTCGGACTACATTTGACTCAAATAAATTGATAAATTGTATTTGCTGACAAGGTCATTATATCGACCATAAAACTTAGGAAATGATGACTTTAAACGAGGCTGTTGATATTCTTGTTTCCTCAACTTGCTTGTCAATAATTTACCTCGTTTAAGAAATTGTTCATACGTAGAGCATGCTCTTGCGTATCGAATCAACAACTGAGATATATATACTCCGTATGCAGGTGATGAAGGTATATTGCTGCATAAATAAGGGAAGTTGACGATAGAAAAGTTAAAGTCATCACGTTTATCATATAGCTTGGTTGTTAGATTACCATTAGTGTCTTTTTCAAGTATAATATCTAAGTATGAAGCAGAAGTGTCAGACTCTGTGGTATCTTTTATCTTATATCGACGTAGGAATGAAATTATCATTATTAATTGACAATACGTCGTCGATATATCTAAATGTCGAGTTGAAGGCCACAGCAAGTGTTTTCTTCTTTTCATGTATAAGATTTTGCATAAATTCTGCTTCATATGAATATAAAAATAAGTCTGCTAAAAACGGAGCGCAATTTGTGACCATGGGAATTCCAATAGATTGTTGGAATAGCTGGTCTCCAAAAACCACATAGATATTATCAATCAGAAACTCCAGCATCTTCTTGATGTCAACTTCAGAGTACTTATGTGTGCCATCAGAATCTGTTTTAACAAAATAGTTTTGCAAATGACCAATGACGGGGTAAGTAAATTTACGAGTTCCATTTTTATTGAAAAAGCAGCTGTTAATGATATCAAAAAGCCTGGACTGTAATTTATCGTGGGGAATTGTTGTGTATAAAGTTGGAAAGTCGTAAGTTTTTAAGCTGTTGATTTAGACAGACAGAGAGACAGAGCCACAGCTAGAAAGACAAACAGACACGACAAAAACTATATACCCCCGAAACTTCGTTTACGGGGGCATAAAAATGAGAAAATAAAATAAGGTGGAAAGACTCAAATGATCTATGAACAATAAGTCTACTAGTTTTTATATATATTTACATCAACTGTAATAACGTGTCCAGCAGGACTATAGAGATAGGGTTAAGAAGAATATGAACATGATAGAGGATTATGTTTCATAAAACAAAACTCATAATAAAATCAAAATACTCAATTTAAATAAAATCACAAAAACAAAATGACTTCAGTATATTATTGTGAAACATATATTCAAAACTTTATTTCAGTTCAAAAAGACGGAATTGTCAAGAAATTTTCTTTACTTTTCAGCGGGAAAACACTAGGGCAAGAATAATGGCAATGAGAATAGTTACAATAATCATAAACAGCAAAGGAATATTGCTTATTTCTTTCAAATTGGCAGCCATTATATAAAACAACTCGATGAAACTTATCGTTGAAAATCCAATATTCCGCTGAAAATCTGTACACTCAGCAATGGGATCCAATACTTATAAAAAGATGTTAAACTTTAAAAACACACACACATCTATGTTCTGTATTCCACAATATACGTATAATTTAAGCAACATTCTTATCTTTTTTTGTTCTTTTGGAATCTATTCTTTTTTATTTACTATTGTAGATTCTTATGCTAGAATTAAAGAAAAAAAGAATTCATTTTCCAAAATACACGTTAAAATTAGGGACCATAAACTGACATGAAAATTATAGAATTACAAATCTAAGCATATCAAAACCCTTCTAATAAATTGTACGATCATTTGCCTGTATAAGGAACTTAAGCACCGGGATGTCTAATTCTGGATAATGCCTCATATTTCTCTCTTTTATTTCTTTTATGTTGACATCACAGTAGTTTGTGCAATGAAGATAGTCCAGTTGAGACAATCCAAGAGTTGTTTTAAATAACATTTCGAAGTCTTCAGATACTCCTTCCTGTTCTTTCCGATCTTTTTTCGTTAACACGCCAAATATTGGGATATCTTAATTAGCAAGAAAATAAAAAAATATATATGTAAGTCAGTATATTCTTGTACATATATTAATCATGAATAGTTATTATCCTTGTTCTTCTTATAAAAAAAATTAAAACAAATTATGGAAATAAAAAAATTCCACTCTTTGAAACGCCGGAGTTAAGATCAAGTTTGCCGCTGGCTATGAGAAAGATAAATCTTCATATTTCACAATATCTTATGCATTATGATCAAGTTTTTTTAAAATCACACCTCTTTTTCTGCGGAGTACTGTTGATGCAGCTTGCATAAGCTGTACTGGTAAATTTTTATTTTCAGCTGAAGCAATGAAAATAACTCTGCGCAAGTGAGTTAAGGCTAAATATGGATATTTCTATGCAAATGAGCTAATCAAAATTCATTACTTGTATATTTTATGTACAGAGAAAGTTCAAATTGATTTTCTCATGCATTTTTAGTACCCACAGTTTATTAATGCAAGTGCACATTATGACGTCATATTATGACGTCATTGTTCTCTCCCATTCAAGGTAATAAATCACATCAATAAAATCACGTCGGCGCAAGGGCATATCCTATCTAATTTAAAATAAACAATGTATAATATTAAGGAGAGTATTCTTACAATTATTAAAATTGCTGCACAAATCCTACGCACTTTTCCGATCTATAAAAATTTAAAGAAAATTACACTGGACTGTGAATTTTTTCACTGTTTATACTTAAAACTGCACGACTAGTAATTACACAATTGCAGTGCTGACATTTGTGCAGCAATATCTTAAATCCTTAGAATATCCTGCGTATTTTTATACATTGATTCTGTAAAACTAAGTAAGGTATGCCCTTGCGCCAAAGCGATTTTGTTGATGTTTCTTATAAAACTTGTGTAGTAGAGGTCGATGACGTCATAATATGACGTCATAAAGTGTACTGGCAATTGCATGTCGTGGGTAATAAGAATGTATTAGAAAACAAGTCTTAACATTTTCTGTGCGGTAGGTAGAGCAATTATAGACTTTAATTAATATTTTCCATAAAAATCTCCATATGTAGCCTTAACTCACTTGCGTGTCAATCTTCTTGCATTCTGGTGTTTCAGGATACTTCTTATCCGTAAACCGCACTCCATGTCTTCTTATATCAAAAAGCAAGAAAAATTATTTTTCATAATTTATAGAAAATCATTTATAGCTTTTATCAAAAAAAAAAAAAAAAAAAAAAAAAAAAACAATTCAAAGCAACAAGAAAGGCGCAGATACACAGTAATAACCTGATGTCCTCTGCAACTTTATCAAGAGGGACATTGGACGGAATCCTTCCATAAAATAAAAGTTTAAGTAACTCAATTGTCATTTCATCATTTGTATTCTGAATTCCTGCTATGTCCACAACGTCTGGAAAATCATACTCTTGATGTGATTTGTCGGCAGAAGACATGTATTTCTCTCTTGATATCCTAAAATAAAAAAAGAACACTCTATACTTCCCTTTTCTCAAATGAAACATATAAAGATAACGAATATTATTAAAGATCAAAAGTCCATAAAACAGTACAAAATAGGAGGAGAGCAAACACGGACCTCTAAAACATCAGAGGTGGGATCCGGTGCCATGGAGGAGTGAGCATCCTCTGCTGACCGGTCATACCCATAGTGTGCTCCTTGTCTTGATCGGGAAATAACAGAAAAATCCGTCGTCAATTCAGTGTATAAATAATGAAATATAAATCAGTATGAAAACGTTCGTCAGCATTTGACTCAATGAAAAACTGTATTTGATGACAAGGTCATTGTATAGACCATAGATCTTTGGATATGATGACGTGAAACGAGGCAGCTGATATTCTTGTTTCATCAAGTTGTTTGTAAATAATTAACCTCGATTTAGAAATTGTTCGTACGTAGAGCATGCTGTTGCATATATATAAATACATCAACCTCGTATGCAGGTGATAAAGGTATATTGCATAACTTAACGAAGCTAACGATAGAAAACTTAAAATCAAAATAAGTAAGTCATTTTAACAAGAAAATGTAGCTTAAAAAGTCCCTTTATATTTAAGGTATTTTTTCCTATTCTAATATCCTCATATTTTGACAGGAAAAAGAATTCAAAATTTAAAATAAAATGAAAATATCCCCTGGTGTTTAATCTATTTAATCGAATTTCTTGCGTAGAGGAAAAAAACCCTTCCTTTTTGAATTAAAAACAGCAACATAAATGATATACATGGTATGCAGATTGAATTTCAAAAGAACGATTTTGGAGTATTATTAAGTTTTTTGAATCGTATTTTCTTAAGAAAATAATGTAACAGTTATTTTTAATGCATTACTCTACAATTTGTACTACTCCCACCCAAAAATTAACAAGTAATAGAAAGGAACGAACCTACAGAAATAGCACATAAATAAGAAATTGGAATTTTAAAAAAAAACCTTAATTACGACACGTTTATTGTATAACCTGGGCAACTAGTTATTAGAGGAAGGCATTCCATCTATGCTTTACCAAATCACGCGAGGTGTAATTGCTTGTCCTTTCAAATTTCCTCCAAAATCTCCCGTCTTTGTCCATTGCCGGTAGTCTCCAGTTATGCTAGTGATCATGGTGTTAATGAAGGAGGACTTTCCAGCTCCTGGTGTTCCAATCACAGCCACAGCAAGTGGTCTACTTGTCTTTTTTCCGATTCGCTCTTTTAATTCTTCAAGGAAAGTTAGTCTCTGTTCTTCTTCTGAATTCATCATAAACTTTTCAAAGCACTATAAAAAGTAATTTTTACTTTAAGTAAATTTAATAAGTTTATCTTATTTAGGACTTAAGAATACGATTTGCTGATGTTTATCTTTATCAAAAAAGTCCTTTGCAAACTTGAGGTTTTTGTTCAACCTGTGACATTAACTCCTATGCCCTCGATTTATTTTGGAAAGAGTACAGAAGAATCAAGTGTTGGAAGGCAACTCAATTAAATGACTTAAGAACATATAGCAGCATAATGAGGGAGAGTTGAGAGAAATACATGTATTGTAGTCTAAATCTTGTTAAAACCGAAATAAATTGAATGGAATTCGTGTTTCACACAACTGCTGTATTTCGTTCAAGCTGAAAAGGAATCAATTGAAAATCTTTATTCGATAAACAAGGTCGAAATTAATCTAGATCTTTTTAGATTGAGAACCACAAATAAAGATGTCTTTATTTCATATAGAAGTTATTGACTAAATTTCGTTCTACTTTATATTAACATAAAACATTTTAGGGGATGCTCACTCATTCATTGCACCGGATCCCACCTGTGATTTTTTGGATGTTCATGTTTGATCTGCTCGTATTTTGTATTATTAATGGACTTCTGATCTTCAATACTGTTTGTTATCTGCACATTAAATGCTAATACATTTACAATTATTTTAGAAGATTTTAAGATCTTTCGAAACAGCAGTAGTGTATCCTCTTCCCATAAGTATTTCAATTAAATATACGTATACTTGTATAATATTTAGTAATGATTTTTTCTACATATTTTGTGCCATCATGTAGGCTGTACGTAACAAATCTTAATATTTCATATCCTGCCAATTTATCCAAGACAATTTAATGTAGAAATTGTAGAATTATTACCATATGCTTTTCACTTACCGTCTGTCACTATATCTTTTCTTTTATGTTTTTTCTTTGGTGTCTCTATTTATGAAAAAATCAGAGTTCTTACATTTCCATTTAAATGCTCAAAATACAAATTTATAATTAACTTTTGGACAGAATGTACTTACGTATGTGCTACCTTTTCATGCTTATTTTCTTCAGAAACACGTTATCCTGCGAAAAGCGTAATTTATGCATTTATTTTTAAACACTTTTTAAAGAAACAAAATGAATCGGAAAGCAATAAGTATTTTTTGTTAATAAACAGAGAATGTGTCGTAATAATATAAGTGAAGGATAAAGTGTTTGTCTTAATGTGATTTACAACCTCACTATGTTTGTTATCATGCATGTTATATTTCTCTATCAGACATTTAATGACATAAAAATTCAATTATCGTCTTAAAACAGTCAGAAGAAAAGATTTTCAATTTGATCATGTGTGAACAAATATTTGGTTGCATGCTTTTAAATGTTATTCAAATGTATTAAGGCACTAAAAATAACAGCACTATATCTCCCAAGCGAGGGATCAACTGTGAAGATACATGGTCATGGATGGAAATCTATATATAAAGCACTAGAAGTAACCAACGACACGAACAATACAATTTATCAAATTTTGGGACAATCAGTCGTGGAGGTTTGGAACAAACATTGTAACTGATGAGATAAATGCAGTTATTTGTTTGACAAGAGAAATTCCCTAGTATATTTTGTAACTGTAATGGGCTGTCAAATCTGTCTGTGTCAGAGCTTTGCCTCAGGTCAAGTTTTAAAACCTCTGTTAGGCAATGGGTTGCCCTGTCTGGTTCTTACTACCATGTCCTTTTAGTACCTCGGGCCTCTTTATGCAGCCAATGCAGTTTCCCTAAAGAATTACATGTATTTCTTATATTTCAAGTTGAGGTCCACGCCTTGTATTTTTTCCAAATATACGTCGACAATTGCTTCCAAACTTATTCATTACAATAAACAGTTTTCAAATTCTTTTCATCGAATATCTGAAACTTAATGCTCCAAAGTGATAACGTTCTTTATTCGATGACTATGGTCCTGCTTTATACGACATTACTGATGAGGTAAATATAATTCTTAATGAGGAACTTAAATTGCTTATTTTTTTAAATGCTCTAAATTCAGGGAACCCCATATTTTATTATTGATTTACATATATAATAAATTTAATGAATTCTGTTGAAGATTACGGAAAAATATGTATTTAACATAAAAAAGACCTTGTCACTTTGTTAGAATCGATTTAAAGTATCAGGTGGATGTAAAAATATCGCATAAAGCGATTAATAATAAAGAAAAGAACTGTTTATACTGCACAAAAAGTTAAGGATCATCAAATT